AATTGTTTGGTTAAAGCAATGCGGGAGGGTCGCCCTCGGGTGGGTCGCGGGATGGGTCGCGGGCGGGTTGCAGGCGGGTCGCGGGTGGGTCGCGGGCGGGTCACGGGGGGGAGGGACGAGGATCACGAAGTGACGATCAGACGATATGTGGCTCGGCTCTCTCGCACGGGTCTGCTCACCTGGAGCCGCTCGCGCGCTCGAGCAGGGCCATGGCACGGCCGACGAGCGACGTGCGGGGGCCTGGCATCGCCGACGGCCTCATCCTCAGCCTCATCTTCTTCTTCGGCGGCTCGTCCTCTGGCTCTGCTTCCTCATCCTCCTCGTCCTCCTCTTCCTCCTCTTCCTCCTCTTCCTCCTCTTCCTGCTCTTCGTCGTCCTTCTTTTCCTCCTCTGCCTCTTCCTCGTCTTCCTCCTCATCCTCCCCTTCGCCTGCCTGCTCTGCCTCCTCGATCTTCTCCTCGGCAGGCGCGGCTGCGGCTGGCTTCCTCTTTAGCGGCGCCACCTCCTCGCCATCGTCATGCTGCGCTGTGCCGCTGATCTCGGATTCGGCGCCCTCGTCGTCAGTGGCGGCCAGCTCGTCGATCGCCGCTAGAGCTCGCTCCGTGAGCCCCTGCTTGTCAACCATCCTGCCGAGGGTCGCGGGCTGCTCCTCGCTGTCACCGAGGATCTCGTCCTCCTCCTTCTCCTCCTCCTCTCCCTCTTCCTCGGCCCCGTAGTACTTGCAGGAGTCGTTGTCCGTGCCCTCGTCGTTCTCGTCCTCGTCCTCCTCTTCCTCCTCGTCGTCCTTCTTGCCCTCTGGGTCGCCGTCCGCTGCCGCAGGCCTCTTCATGGCAGCGCCTGCGGGCCGCTTCATCGCGGCCTGCGTGCGCGATGATCTGCTCGATCGTCTTCTTCCCCTTCACGAACTTGGCGGCCATCTTCTCGAGCCACGTCTTGGCGAACTCCCTGTCGTAGTGGCAGTACGCCAGCTGGCACTTCTGGGACCCGTCCACCGTCATGATCATGCCCTTGGTGATGTAGTCGCCGACTTTGTACAGCGACTTCTCGACGACCTTGACCTCGGCGCCACCTGCAGTCTGTTGTCGCCATCCTTTGAACTTCGTCGTCTTCATCTTGTCAACTCCTGACTGCGCGGCCTTGTGCTGGGCCACCGTGTATGTGGCCAGCTGGTGCACGGTGCCGTCGTGGAACCGAGCCGACATCATCTCGTGGTCTTTGGCCTCGTCGATGTTCTCGTGGAAGATGTCGGTCGTCGTCTCGGGCACCGTGCTCGAGCCCTGCAGCCTCCATGCCACGGGCGGCGTCGAGGTCGGGTCGTACCCGATCTGCGCGGTGCTCCGACCTGAGCCCGAGGGCGCTGCCGAGCACGGGGCCTCTCCGAGGGCGTCCTGCGCCTGGCGCAGGTCCTTCAACCACTTCGGCACGGAGAGGCCCTTGGACCCCCTGCGCGCAGGGTCGCACATGTGTCGCGCCAGCGACCGCAGCCTGCGGAGGCGGGGAGGGGCTGCAAAAAAAAAACTCACCCCTCGGTTTCCTCCTCCTCGGTCCTTCTCCTCGTCCGACTCCTCCTCGTCCTCCTCGCGCTCCCTCTTCCTCATTCCTCCTCCTCCTTCTCCTCCTCCTTCCTCCTCCTCGTCCCCATCCTCATTCTCATCCTCATACTCGTCATCTTCACCCCGCTCCTCATTATTCTGCCTCTCATTATCCTTCTGCCCCTGCCCATCTGGCAATTCCTTTTCCTACTTCCCTCTGTCACCCTCGACTCGTACCTCTGCCTCCTCCTCCTCCTCCTCCTGCTCCTCCTCCTCCTCCTCCTCCTTCTCCTTCTCCTTACCCTCCTCCTCCTCCTCCTCCTCCTCCTCCTCCTCCTCCTACTTGCCTCGACCATCGCCTCCCACCTCCATCACCTCCCTCCTCCTACCTCCGACCTCCCTCTACCTCCTCCTCTCCTCCTTCCGGCCCGACCCGCGGGGGGGGCGTCGAGCGGAAGTTAGGGGGGCCAAGCGGTGGGGGCGGGGGCGACCCAAGGGGGCGGGGCCACCGGGGCGCCACTGCATGCCCCCGCGCCCGCCGCTTGCCCCCCCAAATCCCTCTCGCGTCGCTCCCCCCCCCTCCCCACGTGGCCTCGAGCTGCTGTGTCGCCCAGCTCTGGGCGGCAGCGTCGTCGAACTCGAACTCCTCCTGCCGCTTCTTCGCGATGATCTCGAAGCAGTCGTTCGCGGCCGTCTCTGTGACGGCCCAGTTCGGGGCTGCGCCCTCGATGGCGAGCAGGAGCTGAGATCGTTTTCAATCGGAGGCGAAATTGCGGAAGATGGAGGACGAGAGGGAAGCAAGAGGATAAGTAGGAAGGGCAAGGGGACTAGGGGGAATCATGTACTGTAGGAGCGAGGGGGGGTGGGAGGGGCATCGACGGGCTAAACCGATCTCCTTCGGATTCTTCAGAATCTCGGAGACGCAGTTGGGCGTGAAATTGTCTCTCCCAGGGTGGGTGCCGTATCGAATCCAATCTGCTTTTCGGATGTGCTGCTTCAGAGCCTTGGCCAACGCCTTCCCATCGCTGGAGCCGCTTCTCTGGAGCCCTCATTGCCCCCGCCCGTTTTTCAACCATATGGTTGAAAAGCGGGCGGGGGTGCTGGGGCACCCGCTCTCCCCCCAACACACACACACAAGACGCATCAACAAAAACGCGGTCCTGCAGCGCGACCTCTGCCCTGTGCCGCCGCGGCCAGGGTCTGACCCCCCCATGGGGGGCGAGGGCCTCGAGCCGACCCGCTGCGGCGCAGGACCAACCACATCGACAAGTTCACGTTCGTGCTCGTGCTCGTGCTCGTGATCGCGCTGGCAGTGCTGTGGCGTTGGCCGTGCTGCCCGTAGTGTTGTTGTGGCCTTGCTGTTCTTGTTGGCCGTGCCATCCGTGATCGTGTTGTTTGTTCGTGCGTGTGTACGTGCTGTGTCTGTGTTGTTCGTGGGGGCGTGCGTGGTCAAGTTGTTTGCGTGTGTTCGTGCAGTTGTTCGTGACACCCGTGATCGTCTGCATCTGTGTATGCATATATACATAAATAATTAGATAGTGCCTTCGGAAATGAAGTTGTCATATATTATTTGTGTGTACCACTGCAGATACATCGACCCCGTGCGCAAATATATTACGATGCGATGTGTATGTATACACATATATAGTATACATATATGAATGTACATATATGACATGTGCGTAAATGTATAGTTATGTATTTATGTGAAATGTGTATATATCTATGTATATATGTGTAACTATCTATGTATGTGTATGCGTGTAAATATTTACATATATATATAGCTATTCCTGTATATGCGTATATGTATGTAGCCACACGTACGATAATGGCATGATTCATACAACGTACACTTTTCACGCTCCACTAAGCATTGTACTTCCTGAATAAGCATGTAGATCCTCCGGCCTAAATTCTAAGCATGTAAATCCTCCGGTCTAGGTTAGCAAGTAGAGACCCTCTGGGGATGGGCTGGCTGCCACGGTGGTCGGCTGCCAAGGTCTGCAAGCTGCGAGCGACTTGTATGCAGGAGCGTAGGCACCCACGGAACTGCAACTGCAAGAGTACCAGGGTGGCCGGAGCCAAGTGAACCGACCTTCACGAGACGAATTGCGTGCCCTATGCAGGGAAAGACTGGTGGGGGTACTTTTTGGTCGGCGGCCGCGCGACGACGGTCTGGCGGCAACATGCGATGTCCTGGGCGGCGGTAGAAAGCTAATTGCACACGAAGCGCGCGGTGCACGTGCACTGAGCAAAATGCTCCACATTCGCAAGCAGTCGCACCTAGGCGCCGCCCAATCCAAAGTGAACAAGCGGCCAGGAGTGCGAGTGCAACGGAGGGAGTCGCCCTTGCGGCGCCAGCTCCGAACAGCTTCCCAGGCAGACAGCTAGGCACAAGCCCGGGGGACAGGCTGCTGGCGGTGGAAAACAAGGGCCGTCGGCGCTGAAGGCTGAACCACTCAGCGCGCAGCCAGCGAACTCCACCGCAGAGTTGTTGGGGCCGGCGGCAACCGACGGACGAGTCGGCACCGGCGGAAAAGGCCCGGGAGGTGCGCCAGGAAAAACGCGGGCAGAGGCAACACTCAGGCATGGCAACCCGCCACAGTCACCCTCACTTCGGTGGACACCATCGACCTTCCGAGAGCCGCATGTCGACCTGCTGTGAAAAAGGCCCACCAATGCCAGCCGCGCATGTGCGCGGCGATCTGTGGATGGGGGATCCCCCAAGCCGCCAGCTCGCCAAGCCACCCGCTCAGGCCACTGCGGCCGCCGCGGGGGAGCCCCTGGGGCACGGCGGCGGACATCCACCAAGCCGCGCAAGCTGCGCCGCCCTTTTTTTCCGCGCACGCTCCCCAGCAGCGCGAAAGCGAGGTCCGGCAATGCCTGCTTCGCGGCGAAAAGCCGCGGCTTGCCCCGCAAAGGGGGCGGAGAGAGAGAGAGAGAGAGAGAGAGAGAGAGAGAGAGAGAGAGAGAGAGAGAAAGAGAGAGAGAGAGAGAGAGAGCCACAAGGGCCGACCGCAGCACCGCTCCGCGACCCACGTGGACCCGGTCGGGCCCAGCGGGTCTTCCAGCCCTATAGGCCGAAGAGCGTTGTACCAAAGCCGGTGAAGGATTCAGCGCGCCCTGCGACATGCACGGGAGGTGAGACAGCACAAGGGGGAACAGGAAAAGGGGGGGCTCAGAGGTCTGAGCCCTCAGACTCGCCCTCCGAATCAGGCACCGGGATGGCGAGACTCGGCGCATGCCTGCCAGTCGTGCGGCCCCCACAGAGGCTGCAGTCATGCAGTGCTACACTGATATCCTGCCTGGCATCCGGATGCACCCAGCGGAAACGAGCGCCTAGGTGGAGATCGTGCTCAAGCGAACATCTAAAACACACCTGCTCACTAAGAAGTGCAGACACGGGAACGGGGTGAGGTTGAATATCTCCTGGATCACCATGGAGTTGCAAGGGATGCACTCCGCCTAGCGCTCGAACATCTCCTGGGTCGTCGTGGAATCGCCGGTGACGGCCGCCATCTTGAGTCCCCTCAGCGGGATGTCGCACGCAGAGGCCTTGATGTTGTTCGGGATTCGCACTGCCCCCCCCTCGGACATCTCCTGGATCGCAGTGGAGTTGCTCGAGATCCACTCCGCCACGTGCTTATACATCTCGTGGATTGCCGTGGAGTTGTTGGCCAAGGCCGCCATCTCGAGTCCCTCCAGCGGGATGTCGCACAGGGAGGCCTTGATGTTGATCAGGATCCACTCTACCATGTGCTCGAGCATCTCCTGGATCGCCGTGGAGTTGTCGGCGAAGGCCGCCATCCTGAGGTCCTTCACCGGGATGTCGTACAGGGAGGCCTTGATGTTGTTCGGGGTTCACTTCGCCACGCGCCTGAAAGTCTCCTGGGTCGTCGTGGAGTTGCCGGCGAAGGACGCCTTGATGTTGTTCGGGCTCCACTCCGCCACGCCCTCGAACATCTCCTGGATCGCCGTGTAGCCGTAGGCCAAGGCTGCCATCTTGAGGTCCTTCAGCGGGATGTCGCACAGGGAGGCATTGATGTTGTTCGGGACTCGCTTCGCCACGCTCTTGAACATCTCCTGGATCGTCGTGGAGTCGCCGGCGAAGGACGCTTGGATGTTGTTCGGGACCCACTCTGCCACGCTCTCGAACATCACCTGGATCGCCGCGGAGTCGTCGTCGACGGCCGCTACCTTGAGGTCCTTCAGCGGGATGCTGTACAGGGGGGCCTCGATGTCGCTCGGGATCCACTCCGCCACGAGCCTGAACATCTCCTGGATCGCCGTGGAGTTGCCGGCGAAGGACGCCTTGATACTGTTCGGGGTCCACTCCGCCGTGCTCTCGAACATCTCCTGAACCCCCGCGGAGTTGCTGGCGAAGGCCACCGTCATCTTGAAGTCCTTCAGCGGGACGTCGCCCACGAGCGCCTTGACGTTGTCCGGGACCCACTCCGCCACGAGCTTCAACCCCTTCTGGATCGTCGTGAAGTTGCTGGCGAAGACCACCGCCATCTTGATATCCTTCAGCGGGACGTGGTACTCGGAGGCCTTGATGTTGTTCGGGATCTGGTCCGCCACGAGCTCGAACATCTCCTGGATCGTCGTGGAGTTGCTGGCGAAGGCCACCGCCATGTCGAGGTCCTTCAGCGGGATGTCGCACACGGACGCCTTGATGTTCTTCGCGATCCACTCCGCCGCGCTCTCGAACATCCCCTGGGTCGCCGTGGAGTCGTCGGCGAAGGCCGCAATCTTGAGGTCCTCCAGCGGGATGTCGCTCACGGACGCCTTGATGTTGATCGGGATTCGCTTGGCCACACGCTTGAACATCTCCTGGATCGTCGTGGAGTTGCTGGCGGAGACCACCGCCATCTTGAGATCCTTCAGCGGGATGTCGCGCAGTGAAGCCTTGTCATAGTTCGGGATCTAGTCCGCCAAGCTCTCGAACATCTCCTGGGTCGCCGTGGAATCGTCGGCGAAGGCAGCCACCCTGAGGTCCTTCAGCGGGATGTCGCACACGGGCGCCTTGATGGTCACCGCAATCTTTGGGGCGAAGATCGGCAGGGTCATCTTCTCGGCGAGGTTGCTCGGCGCCGGGCCCCCGATGACGACGCTCGGCGGCTCCATCGCGACCTCGCCGGGGCTGCTGTGGCTGCTGCTGCTGCCGTTGCTGCCGCTGCCGTTGTCGCTGCTGCTGGCGTTGCTGTCGTTGCCGCTGTCAGCGGCGCGGGCGCTGGCGCCCGCGGCGCGCGGCCAGTCGCCGGCGCCGACCACGCTGGATCACAAGCGCAGCCCGCCGCCAACTGCGCTGCAGATGCCGGCGCCAGATCGGGATCAGCGAGCGGAGCAGACGCGCCGGCCGCTGCAAGCGGCAGCGGCGGCAGCGCGGGCAGGCGCCGGGGCTCAGCAGGTAGCCGTCGCGCGCGCGCAGCTCGTTGGGGCACTCCCAGGCCGGGTCCACCTTTTCGCGCAGGCCCAGGCCGAAGCGCTCGAATCGTCTCCGGGCCAGCTCGGCGCGCGAGGGGCCCTCGCGGGCCACCCTAGCCGATTGGGCGGGGCGAAGCCGCCCCCCATGGGCGACGGTCCGCCGGAGCTGCGCGATGCTGCGCAGCAGCTGTCGGATCCGGGCGTCGGAGAGCAGGCCCGCGTCAGCCGCGGCCCGCGGCGGCAGGCAGCAGCCCGCCCCGCCTCCGCCCCGCGACGGGGAACCAAGGGGGAAGCGACCGTGCCGGACGATCACCTGCCGCGCCTTCGTTTTGCGCAGCTCGAGGGCCGCGCACCCCGCCGGCCGCCGAGGCGGGGCGAAGAAGTGGAGGCCAAGGTCGATCGTGAGTTCAGCATCGCCGCAATCGCCGCGGCGCAGGACGACGCGGCGCCGGTGGAAGCGCCCCCGCGCGTGAACAGATAGCGCCGGGCCCGATCGCGCGAAAGCGCACGCCATGCCCTCGAGTTCGGCCATGGCCTCCTCGTTGATGTCCTCGCCGCCCGGTCGCTGAAAGCAAGCGTGGACGCCCGCTGCGCTGACCCCTTGGCGCTGGAGGGTGGCCCGGCAGAAGGCGAGGGTCTGGCGGTCAGACCGTTCGCCGAGGCACGGCTCCCAGACCCCCGCGGCGTCGGTGGTGTCCTGGAGCCAAGGTCGCAGCAGTCGGTCAAAGCTCCAGCCGACGTCGTTGCGGCGGATGTCGATCGTGGTAGCGGGCCTGGAAGGTTGTTCGGGATCCACTCCGCCACGAGCCTCAGCCTCTCCTGGATCATCGTGGAGTCGCCGGCGAAAGCTACCACCATCTCGAGGTCCTTGAGCGGGATGTCGTACCCGGGGGCCTTGATGTTGTTCAGGATCCACTCCGCCAAACGCCCGAACATCTCCTGGATCGCCGTGGGGTTGCCGGCGAAGGCTACCATCTTGAGGTCTCTCAGCAGGATGTCGTTCGCACACGGAGGCCTTGATGTTGTTCGGGATCCACTCCGCCACGAGCTTCAACCTCTCCTGGATCGTCGTGGAGTTGCCAGCGAAGGCTATCACCGTCTTGAGGTCCTTCAGCGGGATGTCGTACACGGAGGCCTGGATGTTGTTCGGAATCTGTTTCACTGCGAGCTTCGCCATTTCCTGGATCGCCGTGGAATTGCCGGCGAAGGACACCTTGATGTTGTTCGGGATCCACTCCGCCGCGAACTTGAGCATCTCCTGGATCGCCGTGGAGTTGCTGGCGAGGACGGCCTTGATGTTGTTCAGGATCCACTCCGATAAGCGCTTGAACATCTCCTGGATCGCCGTAGGGTTGCCGGCGAAAGCTACTATCACCTTGATGCCCTTCAGCGGGATGTCGTACAGGGGGGCCTTGATGTTGTTCGGGATGCACTTCACAACGAGCTTGAAGATCTCCCGGATCGCCGTGGGGTTGCCGGCTAAGGGCGCCTTGATGTTGCTCAGGATCCACTCCGCCACGAGCTTGAACATCGCCTGGATTGCCGTGGAGTTGCCGGCGGGGATGGCCTTGATGTTGTTCGGGATCCGCTCCACCCCGCACCCGAACATCTCCTTAATCGCCGTGGAGTTGCTGGCGAGGACGACCTTGATGTTGTTCGGGATCCACTTCGCCCCGATCTTGAACATCTCCTGGATCGCCGCGGGGCTGCTGGCGAGGATGGCCTTGATGTTGCTCGGGGTCTACTCCGCCGCGCGCCTGAGCCTTTCCTGGATCGCCGTGGGGGCCAGGATGTCCTTGATGTTGTTCGGGATCCACTCCGCCACGAGCTTGAACGTCTCCTGGTTCGCCGTGGAGTCGTGATCGTTCGCGCCGCTGGATGCGGTTCAGCGCGGCGGAGTCCGCCCGCGCGATGTCCACGACGGGGGTCGCGAAAAAATGGGCGGTTGCATTGCGGCGCCGCCTGGCAAGCGAAGGCAGCTGCACCCCATGGGCACCAGAAGCCACTGCTGGGGCCATGAGGCGAAGCCGACCAACGATTTCGCCCTCGCGCACCAGCGCCGCATCGCGCTGAGCCCGAAGCTCGCCCATCTGCTGGCGCAAGGCCCAAGCGGCCGAGCGGGCACAGCACAGGGCCGCCCGCCGCTGCTGCCGCCTCCACCGGGCGCGACTCCACGGAACCGCTGGTTGCTCACCGGTTGCCCCCCCCCTTGTGCCAGCAGCCGCCGTTGCTTCGGCAGCCGACAGCGCCACCGCAGCCATCTGCTGCGTCCCGCACTCAGCTAAAGTGCACCCCCAGGCGCCCGCGTGGCTTGAACCAGGCTTGAGCCAAAATGGTTACGGACTGGTGGGGATACGCGAAGTGTCTAGAATATTAAAAACGAGCGAATGTGCGCGGCGGATAGGCGAGACCCACAATTTGAAAACCACCCGCCTTCAATCCGTGAAAGTCTTGCACACTTTGAAAACGAATGTGAGCGGCGGATAGGGGAGAGCCACATTTTGAAAACCACCCGCCCTTAATCCGTGAACCTCTTGCAAATCCCACCAGCCCTCTGGGCGTCGGTGGCTTAGGGCGTATCCTCTTCCACCCCTCCCTCTTCCCCTTCGGGGAGGGGGTTATCACGGTTCCCTATTGATAAACACCCCCTCCCCCACGCGACTGGGGGCCAACCAGGGTCCATGCCCCCCCCCACCACCACCATCCCTTGTAAAAAACAATACAAAACACACTCTGCCTCCAAATTCGGAACATGCGCAGCCAACCCGATGCGCCCCCCCCCACCATCCCTGTCAAAAAAACAATGCACCGTACACTTGGCGGCGGCTGCGGCGGCTGCGGCGGCGGTGGCTGCGGCTGCGGCGGCTGCGGCTGCGGCTGCGGCGGCGGCGGTGGCGGCAGCGGCAGCGGCGGCGGCGGCGGCGGTTTGGCAGCGGGGGGCGGCGGCGGCGGCGGCGGCGGCGGCAGCGGCGGCGGGGGGGGGGGCGGCGGCGGCGGCGGAGACGGCGGCGGCGGCGGCGGCGGCGGCGGCGGCGGATTGGCCCCCAGTAGCTGCCCATCCAAAGACGATTGCTGAATATGCAGAGGCTCGGGCCAGACTCGGGTGTTACGTATGTGTTGGGAGGGCGGTGGGAGTGAGCGAGACGGCTTGCGGGCGGGGAGGGGGGCTCTTGACCCCTCCCCCTCCCCCCTCCCCGTGGACCTGGACGGGGGGGGGGGGCCGCGAGCGGTCAGAGCGTCCAAAACGGCTTCGGCGAGGAAACAACAATTATTGATTTTAATATGGTTTTGGCCCCATTTTGGCCTCCTGGGGGGGCAGCCCTAATTGAAGCTCCGCTCTTCTTTGATAGATCTCCTCCAAGATGGCCCCAAGAAGCGCCCAGGAGGCCCCAAGAGGTCCCAATATGGCCCAAAAGTGGCCCCAAGAGGCCCCCCATAGGCCCCCAGGAGGCCCCCAAAAAGACCCTCAGCGGCCCCACGAGCCCCCCCCCCCCGAGGCACCCAAGACCCCGAAGAGCCCCCAGGATCGCCAAGAGACCCCAAAGACGTCCCAAGAGGCCACCAATAATCGCCCAAGAGATACCCCAAGAGGCTCCGAGAGGCATCCAAGAGACCTCTGGCCCTTGTGCTTGCCCTCCTCCTCCTCTCCTCCTCCTCCTCCTCCTCCTCCTCCTCCTCCTGTGTTCCTCTTTCCTGCTCCTACTCCTATTATTCCTCCTCCTCCTCCTCCTCCTCCTCCTCCTCCTCCTCCTCCTCCTCCTCCTCCTCCTCCTCCGCCTCTTCCTCATCGTATTCATCCTCCTTCTTCCCACTCCCTCATCCATCCATCCATCCACCTCCTCCTTCTCCGCCTCACTCCTTTGCACGGTTCGGCCGTCCTCCTCTTTGCTGCCGCACTTCCCTAGATCGCCTCAACTCGCCTGGACATCGTTTCTGGATGGGCTGGCGGGGATACTTGTTTCGGTCGCGTCCACCAGCGAAAGCGCAAGCGGAGTCAGGAGCGCTCCGGGACACGGAAGCGGCCGAATTAGCTACTAAACGCGCCGCAGTCCGGCCGGCCCACTCACCAAGCAGCGGCAGGCTGCGCGGGAGAGATGGCAAGCTGAGGGCGTCCAAAGCTGGTGGGGATACTTGTTTGATTTGCGGCCCGCAAGGAGAAGTCCAGAGGGCGGTATGACCGAGGCTGGGGCACAGCGCAAGATAATTGGCGCGAGAACGCGCGAAATGCACCTGCAAAACAAATTAGGAAGAGAGGCGGCCACAATTGGGCGACCACCGAACACAGGCCGGACCCGCAGGTGGGGCCGGACCGATACCCTGCCGGAGTACACGCAGACCCAAGCAAATCTGGTGGGGATACGCGAAGCGTCTAGAATTTTGAAAACGAATGTGCGCGGCGGGTAGGCGAGACCCACAATTTGAAAACCACCCGCCTTCAATCCGGG